TATTTTAACAATTTCATTTTTGTTCATTAAAAAATATCTTGTTGAAATTGAAAATCAGAATAAAAAATAAATAAATAACTAAATAAAAGTTATTATTCATTTCATATCATGTTGTCTCTATAATCTTATTAACATAGTTAAAATTTTAAAGTCATTACTATTGCATATTTTTAATAAAAAAATAATATTTTTTTAATAATTTATTATGTAAAAATATTTTTTATTATATCAATTTTATCGTTTAGTATTTAATTATTTTAATATTAAACCACTTTTAATTGTTTCATGGTTTTCTTGTATTCTTCCCAATGTAAAATTACCTCATTTCTTTTTTTAATTCTACTTTTTATTTCTTTGTCTTTATTTATGATCGAGACAAATATTGTTTTAGAAAATCTTATATCTAATTGGAAGTGACATGAGATTAATATGGGTGTATTCGTTTTCAATTATGAGTTACAATTTAAGACTTATTAAAAGCAAAGACTTTTTAACGGTTTTAGGTTTAACATGAATTCTTAGAAATCTCATGTCTAAAGGTGAGATTTGATATAGGATTTGATCTCATTAAGTCTTAAAAAGCCTAAAGGTTGAACTTACACGTCGTGTGTGACGTGACATGTATGCAGATATATGGAACATGGTTGCGTCTCATTTTGTTCTGTTTCCTTTTTTTTTCCTCTTTAATATGTTTTAGACTAAAAGTCGTGTTTCACTTTTGTGTGCGTTTTCCTTTAGTTAAAACGACGCTGTTTGAACTCATTTGTAAGTATCACTTTGGGTGGGGCTTTAAATGCTCGCGCGTTGCATATTTTGACAGGGAATTTAGATCAGATATTTTGGGAAATAAAATTTTACTGGTTAGATTTGAGTTTCTTCATGATATCTAGAGCCAACTGAGCTAGCTCATCCGTCTTTTCCGATTGATAATGGCGGCCAACAGATTCAAAGAGGCATGGCCAGCTTGAAAGCACGAGGAGTTGCAGAGGCTAATGAAGATAATCCTTTGTTCCTCCATGGCTTCGATAACCCTGGTATGTAGCTCGTCTCTCATCCTTTAACTGGTTCAAAATTTCTCGATTGAAAACGGTCAATGATGATTGCTTTAGGTACAAAAACAAAGTTAGGGTTTATAAATGGATCTATTACACCACTGAATTTAGGAGATGTGGATTATGAAAAATGGAAGAAAGGAAACTGCATGGTTATCTCTTGGATTTTGAATTCAATATCAAAGGATATTGTGGATGCTTTTATATACGTCGAATCAGCGAGAGAATTGTGGGAAGAGATATGCCATGGACCTTTGATCTATCAATTGAAAAGGAAAATTTCGAATCTAAGGCAAGGTAGATATAAAGTGATGGCTTATTTTAATAAATTGAAGAAATTGTGGGATGAATATGGATATTTGGTGCCTCAATGGACATGTGAAGGAGGGAGGAAAAAGGAATGAAGAAAAACACAAGCAACTTTTAGTCAAAAACATATCAAAAAAAAAAAAAAAAAAGAGAAAAAAATGAGACGCAACTCATGTTCCATATATCTGCATACATGCCACGTCACACACGACGTGTATGTTCAACACTCTCAATGGATTTATTGAATGCACTCAAAAAGTTTTTACATGATGAATTCACAATTAAAGATCTCGGTGCTACAAAGTATATCTTGGGGGTTGAAATCCTTCGAGATAATTCAGGGATTAAGCTTTGTAACCATAAGTATATCATGGATTTGGTAACAGACATGGGGTTACTTGATTGTACTACAACATCTACACCTCTTTCTCTTGGTCTAAAGCTGTAAGGATATGATGGAATCCCACTTGAGGAGCCAGATCAATATGAAGGCTTATAGGAAGGTTACTTTCATTGAACATGACACGGACAGACCTCAGCTACGCTGTGAAACAGTTGTCTCAATTTGTCAACAATCCCTTCACCAATCATTGGAAGGCAGCTGTGCATGTGCTCACATACTTGAAGGGAACTTCTCATCATGGTCTTTATTACTAGACACATTAAGAATGACAGCTGAATTCCTACTGTGATGTAGACTGGGCTGCATGTAAAAGGACACTAGGAGATTCATCACCGGGTTTTGTGTATTCTTAGGTGACAATCTCATATCTTGGAGAAGCAAAAAGCAAATTAACTACTGTTTTGCGTTCTTCAGCAGATGCAGAGTACCGAGCAATGGCAACAACTGTGTGTGAGCTTCAATGGATCCATTCTTTGGGAGCTGATCTCTCTTTGGTCTTGCAGTTGCCAATCGCTTGTGGTCCAATAATCGAGCCGCCATGCAGATTACAGCCAACATAGTCTTTCATGAGCGCACGAAACACCTGGAGATCGATTGTCATGTTGTGCGCATTATGTTCCTTCACACTCTCAGCTTGCTGATTTGCTCACCAAAATCCTTCCACCTGGACGCTTTTCGGGTCTGGTTTTCAAGTTGGGTATGGCTACAAAGTACCCAACTCCAACTTGAGGAGGGGGTATTGAACATGCACATCGTGTGTGACGTGGCATGTATGCAGATATATGGAACATGAGTTGCGTCTCATTTTGTTCTCTTTTTTTTTTTTTTCCTC